CCCTTCAAGGCTCAGGGGTCCAAGATTATCTTCTGTGTCTGTGTTAATTGGTTTCCCTTTTCTTTGTTGAAGAGGGTCTGTACAGTCTTTCTGCCTAGTCTGCCATTTTGCCGCAACTCGCTAGACGCTTTTCATGTATTATCTGCAAGTCACTGAAAAACCTAACAAGTAGGTGTGAATATTCCTGTTTTGCTGATTAAAAACTACTGGCTCAGAGATGTAATCTGCCCAAAATCACACTGTTACTAACTAGTGGAGCCACAATTCAACGTAGGACAAAAGACAGTACTACCTGTACATCCTGCCATACTACTGTGTACTGAATGACACACTGAAAAGGAAAAACAGAAATGAATGTAAATTCAGAAATGTCAAAACGGGTTGTAGATTTGTAAACATTCAGGCAGAAAGATCCTTTATCTCCAAGCCAAGAGTCACAAAAAACCAAACCAAACCAAACACCCAGCCGTCAAGTCAATTCCGACTCTTAGCGACCCCCACCTGGGTTTCCAAGGCAGTAACTCTTAACAGAAGTAGATTGCTCTATCTTCCTTCTGTGGAGCAGCTGGTGGATTTGAACTGCCAACCTTCCGGTTAGCAGCCAAATGCCTTAGGCACTGTACCACCAGAGCTCCTTTTCAGAGTCACAAAGGGAATAAAATTCCACAAGCAGTAACTACTCACATTTCTGAAACTTTATCCAGAGTTAAACCTACTGGAATGACATTTGGATATGCATTCACAGGGCAGATGTAGCTCAAGAAATCTTTAATCTAGAAGAGGAGAAATAAAATAGATGAATTATCTCCATAATGAAAAAAGTGGGTGTTTGAGATACATACAAAGGGAGGCAACATAAAAGTATATGAAGAGTAGCAAACTTCTCTTAGGACAGTGGAGTGGTCCTCAAGGCTGGCTGCACCTGAGGACCACTTAGGGACCCTCAAGAAAAAGAAATGCCCAATGCCAAGGCCCCACCCAAAAGATCCTTTCAACACTGATCTACAGTGGGGCCTGGGACTCAGTATATTTAAGCATTCCCTGGGTGATTGATTCTGTTTCCATGGTGAGGCCCAGGATCACTGTCAAATGGGATTTAAATTTTCTGTATTTATTTTTAACATAACATTGGTTTCTTGTTAAAGAAGGTCACACACTGATATTTTATTGATATTAACCCCCTTTCAAGTGGGTCAGAATTTAGCTAAGTCTTCATTAAATGCAGTGTACATAAGAAAACAAGGTCCCAGAATTGCATTTCTTTCCACCTACAGATAATTGTTACCAATATGTTTTGTATCTTCAAGGTCACTTGATTTGTTCTAATGGGTTTATTCTAAGCTCAAGCAACAAGGAACTGCCTCCTTACTGAGATGATTTTATAAAATTCCAGGAAGGATCATTCTCCCCCAACTTAGCTGCCAAGTGCATTAAGAGAAATAAGACAGGCACGGTACTGATTGAGGGTCCCTGGCTGGTGCAAATGGTGCTTAGCTACTAACCAAAAAGGTGGAGTTCATGTCCACCCAGAAGTACCTCAGAAAAAATGCCTGGCAATCTACTCCCCACAAATCAGCCACTAAACACCCTATATAGCACAATTCTACTTTGACATACATGGGATGGCTATGAGTATCAACTTGATGGCAACTATGGTTAGTATTGACTGAAAAAGTCAAGTCAAGCCTGCCCTTTGTCTATTAGACACCCTTTCTGTGGTTGAGACAGAAAAGATATTAAGCCACTAACAGATAAGCAGCAAGGGGCACTGATGCCATATCAAGGACAAATCACCAGAAAGGGGTTCTAATAACAATTTAATATTCTAGATATATTGACAAAGAAAACATTAACACAGATAGATCATCAAAATTAATTCCTTCAAATGCTGCTCTCAAATAACCTATTTGTTCATGAAAGTTATTTAATAGAGATACTATTGTTATATTTTGACAATATATAAAGAATCATTTATTTTATTATGGCCAACTTAATAAGAATGCCTCACTGCTATCCTGTGAGGAAGAGAAAGACACAGAGAGGTACGCAAGAAGTATAGACAACAAAGATAAACACTTTTACATATACTGCACTGTCAGTGATAACAACCATGAACATAGTAGCTAAAGACACATGGAAACAATTAGTCCAACAGTACAGGAAACCATGTGATCCTCAGCCTAAATGACTATGAGAGCCGAAAAAATAGATAGTGCCCAGCTACCACTGTCAACCACTCAGAGGGGGATCGGTGGTGGAGATCCTGGATAAAGTCGGAGAACAATGTGGAAAAAACTTGAAATCACACACACACACACAAAGACCAGGTTTACCGGTTTTAATAGAGCCTGGTGCGACTACCAAGACTATGGCCCCTAGTTACCCTTCAGGTCTGGAATTGAACTCACTCCTGTGACTTCCAGCCAAACAATAGACAGGTATGCAAGGGTGAATATTTATACCAGGTAGATATGCTCCTTAGAGTGATCAATCGATCAACTGCGGGAGAATAGAAGGGCAATGTTTGTACAGGGAGATAGCTCAGGGGTCAGGAATATACAGGAAAGAAGGACACAGGGAAGAGGTAACTAGAGGGAAGAAGTGGGAAGAGAGCTGTTACATTATGGGGAATTGCAGTCAATGTCATGAAACAAAATGTGTATGAACTATTATATAGAAAATAAATTTGGTCTGTAAAGTTTCACTCAAATCACAATAAAATTTTTTTAAAAAAAGAAAGCTGCTACCTGGAGCTTCTGGAAGAATCCACCTGTTCAAATCATTAACAAGTACAAGGCCCACTGCTATAGTGCTGAATCCATGAACTCCAGATACAAAGATAATGGTTGTCAGAGAAATGGACTTTTAAGTGTAGAAATGGCAAAACAAAAATTATATGATATGATTTTAATCCACAAACAGCCTGCTTTTATATTGTTCTTTCTCCTGTTCATGAAATCACTGAATCTCTGCCCTTTGAAAATGCATGAGAATTTTGCAAATAAATTTGTTGTTGTTAGGTGCCGTCAAGTCGTTTCCGACTCATACCGACCCCATGCACAGCAGAACAAAACAGTGCTCGATCCTGTGCCAGCTCCATGATCCTTGCTATACTTGAGCTCATCATTGCAGCCACCATGTCAATCCATCTCGCTGAAGGCCTCCCGCTCTTTCGCCGACCCTCCACCCTACCAAGCATGACATCCTTTTCCAGGGAATGGTCCCCTCTGACAACATGACCAAAACAGGTGAGACGAAGTCTGGCCATTCTTGCTTCCAAGGAGCATTCTGGCTGCACTTCCTCCAGGACAGATCTGTTAGTTCTTTTAGCAGTCCATGGTACTTTCAGCATTCTTCGCCAGCACCACAACTCAAAAGCATCAACTCTTTGGTCTTCCTTATTCATTGTCCAGCTCTCACATGCATACGAGGCGATTGGAAATATCATGGCTTATGTCAGGTGCACCTCAGTCCTCAAGGAGACATCCTTGCTCCACAGCACTTGATACAGTTCCTTCGCAGTTGACCTTCCCAATGCTATACATCTTCTAATGTCCTGACTGCTGCTTCCATTGGCATCGACTGTAGAACAAAGCAACGTGAATTCTTTGACAACCTCAATCTTCTCTCCATTTATGGTGATGCTGCTTCTTGGTCCAGTTGTGAGGATTTTTGCTTTCTTTATACTGACACATAATCCATACTGCAGACTGTATTCTTCAACCTTCATCAGTAACGGCCTCAAGTCATCCTCACTTTCAGCAAGCAAAGTTGTATCATCTGCGTATTTCAGATTGTTAATGATTCTTCCTCCAATCCTGATGCCACATTTTTCTTCATATAGTCCAGCTTCTCGGATTATCTGCTCAGTATATAGATTGAATAAGTGTGGGGAAAGGACACAACCCTGACGCACTCCCTTCTTGATTTTAAACCATGTAGTGTTCCCTTGTTCCGTTTGAATGACAGCCTCCTGGTCAAGGTACAGGTTCCTCATGAGTATAATCAAGTGCTTGGGAATTCCCATTCTTCTCAATGTCATCCATAATTTGTCATGATCCACA